CCCGATATCGGCCCGGTCTTCTTGCCAGTACTGGCCCGATACTGGCCCGGTCTTCTTGCCAGTACTGGCCCGATATCGGCCCGGTCTTCTTGCCAATACTGGCCCGATATCGGCCCGGTCTTCTTGCCAGTACTGGCCCGATATCGGCCCGGTCTTCTTGCCAATACTGGCCCAATATGAATGCCGAACACTGGTGAACAAACGGGCCAATATTGGGCTGTTATAAAATACAAAAATGGGACAATACTGTACCAATTGTCAATATCGAGTATCGGCTATAAAGGTTGGGCCATTGTTGGCCTAGTAGTATTACTGGAAGTCTGTCGGCAATTCCTACATGGGTATATGCATATATATATATACACGTAGTTTTCCGCACGACATCCTGCGATCGGCTCGGATGACTGTAATTATTTCTTAGTTTAGTAACTTATCGAGCTTCAATAAGCTTTATTTGTTTAATTTTTTAAATTTGAACGCTGTTAGATGTTTGTTTTTTAAACAAACATCGGTGAAAGTTTAATGGGCTTTCGTCGTGTAATTAATGCTATCGGTTGACACAATCAACATCACGATTATGCGGCTCAATCAGCTGATTGCACAGAAAACACCGAGATTAAAGATTTATCTCCGTGTTTTGTATTTTTTGTTGCAGAAAAAACATTTTTTCTACAATTTCGGAAAAAATCAATTTTTCTCCGCCGAACATTTTGCATTTCGATTTAAAAAAAAACAACAGTTTCAAAAAAATCACACACATGTATTATTTAAGTGCGTATCGCGCGATTAGAATTTCTGAGAACGAAAAAGTCGAGCTCAACCAAGTTGAGATCCGATTCGCGAATCTGAATGTAAATTTGTCCAAATCGGCTTAGATTAATTTGGACGCCGTTCTCCACTTAAACCGTTCGTTTTAATAATCAAGGGTATCAAGGAGCGAGCTTTGTCATCGGTTTCTTTATCATCAGAAATTCACACGGCGATAACGACATCGGAAGGAGGTGGGACCGGACTTGCACGTTGATTGCGGGTGGAAAATCTTGCGAACAAAGCGGCGCAAATGGTTTCGGGCACAAACAAAAGGCGTGATGTCGACTCGAAGACAATCGGGGACGTCGATAAATGTGTTAAGATTGGACGCGCGCGCGATCCTCTCCTCTCTCTCTCTCTCTCACCCCGCGGGTTCGGATTATTTTAGAGATTCGCGGGTTGCAAGAGTGTGTCACCTCCTTCAGGACCGCGCCGCGCGATCGTTCGGATCAACTGACGTTGCCGGATATCGACAGTCTCTCTCTCTGTGTTCTCCATCTTCCGACAGTACTGATCTCCGAACAAATTGCCGCTTCTCGGCAAGCCCGTCCGTCAATTCTCTTATTTTGGAATGTTGCGAGCTCTATCCGCGGACGTTCTCCGTTCGTTGCAACGCGCGCACATTAAACATAAATCTTCGGCAAAAACTGTGTTATTCTTAATTAAAAAAAAAACAAAAAAACAAAACCCATTACTTTTTATTCTACATAATTAAACTCCAGTAAATTTATGTTTACAGATTATTTATATGTAAAAAAATTTATAACCCTGCTAACTACACTGTTTTGTAGGGAGAACTTTCTCTTATTGGAAGATTCACACTTATTTTTGACCTAGACGAATTCCGTTCACGGCACGTTTTGTATAATTAGCGTAATTGCGTAAAGCGGTTAGGTCACAAGTGCAAAATTTTATTTAGTTTATCACAAATGCAAACCCAATTTTCCGATGGAAACCGAGGGATCTCGGTTTTCTCTTTCTTTTTCTCTTTCTCTCTCTCTTTTTTACTCCGCTTCTTCGCAAAGTTTAACGCGGCAACTTAATAACGATATCTTAATGTAAGTCATGAATAATAAAGTTGATGCATTAAACTCGCAACGGAATATTGCGCGAGAGTACATCTTGAACTATTTATATCTAAGAAAGTTAGAGGATCGTAATATTCCGTATAAAAATAAACGCTCGCGTAAGCCCCCGTGTAATAACATATGTAGCTCGTAAAACTGAATGTATGTGTGTGATGTACACACACAGACTCAGTACAGACTTGTATCTTCTTCGCGTTTTTACTTAACATTCATCAAATTTTGATAAACAGCCAACAGAGATCGCGCGCGCACTTCAAGTCTTGAAGATCGCGCAAATATTCAAAGAGAGACGTAAAAAAAAAAACAAAAAAAAACGCGTAAACGGTACTACAGGCACGAACGAAAAAATTAATATTTACGATGGAATTGAGCAACGCGCAAAGGTTTCGCAAAAAATGAAATGTCGGAAATTCATCGAAAAGAAATGTATCGCGCAAAGGCGCTCTGCGCTCTCTCTCTCTCTCCTGCTCTCGCACAGCCCGCAGCTGTGCGAGGCAGAAGATTCAATCTCAAAATTGCATTCGGAAGGGCGCCGCTGCGCTTTTCAGTTTCGCAGGAAGCCCAGAGGCACAGAGGTGGGCTTTAAGTGGCTTGATCCGCGAAAGTGCATCGACAATATATCGCGGATTACTGCGGGGGGTTTTTCGAAGTGCGCCATGGTTTCGCGCCGAACAACGTTCTCGGCAAACCCGGCGGCGTTGCGAGATCGGTAGGTGTACCGATGATGAGTGGAGAGCGGGAGAGAGATTATTACGGATGTAATTTATTAGCGGTCCCGCGTGGAAAGTGACGGCGGCCTCACGATGACACTATTGACGCCTCTAAAGGCCAATGACAGCGCGAGTTTCGTCAGCTGGGGGGGAGGGGGGGAGGGGGCGAATAAATTATTCATTCGGAAATCCGCCGAAATCCGAAAATTACAATGCAAATAGTCTTCTTGCAAGCAGCTCGGTAATTACTGGATTAATTAACGTTCCAACACATATGGATCGCTAATCCACGCGAACCGCTCCTAATTGTCGATTGTTTCAAAGTGTTCTTTAATAGATCGGTCGTGACGTTGCCCCATCGCCCGGAAACATTAAACTGAAATTACGCGAATCTCTCTCTTTTTATATATATTTTTTTTTTTTCTTATTTTATGCACGCGTCTGTATATTCCTCGAAAGTTTGTTGTCCATTAAAGCATTAAAGGCAGAAGCACTCTGAATATTAAAATACTAAAATAAGAGCACCGCGCGTCGCGTCGCGAGACTGCGCGCGATAATATATATTTCGTGCGTGTATATACCTTCTGATGAAGCGCGTGATTAAAATCACATTTTCTGATGCGTTTTCTCGATCCTTTTGTTTTTATCTCTCTGTGCTCCCATTTTTTAAATTTAAATCGGTCCGTTCGAAATTGTTGTCGCGTTATCGAGCAATAATTTATTCTCTCTCATTGTCGCGAGAAAAATATTAATTTTCTCAGATCCTCTTTTTTGACAAGTATATTTACGTTTTTGATTTTATCAAAATAGGCGCTGAGATTACAAACACACGTGAAAAACACACATTTCCTCCCGTCAGTTATTAATAAAAATTTTTCATACCAAAAGAGAGAGCGCCGTGATTATAATTAATTAATTTTGCCTAATTAGTTAATTAAAAATAGAAAATGTTACGGCAAATAAAGGCATAAAAATTACTACCGAATAATAATAAATATAACATACATACTGCTTGTCTTTCTGAATTTCCCACTGGGGGTCTATCGCAAATCTTTTAAATATTGCGAATACTCTACATCGAGGAATTTCAGAAATTCTCGGATCCTTGGGTATAGATATATACGGATAACCAAGTACGTACGTTCTCTCTCTCTCTCTCTACGCTTTAATAATCGATCTTTCCGTCAGAATGATGCGAATTAACTATTAATTGAATTGTTTCACGTTGATTTTCCCGAACAGGAGAAACCCCGAACGGAGAAGAAAGAGAGAAAGAAATATATTTCTCTGTGAAAATGTGTCGATATAATATAACACAATTATTTCCACTTTCAATGGACAAGAAACAAAACGTTGCAACCTGCCATGCTATTCGCATTGTTCTTTAACGAAATATACAATTTCGGACAGGATTGTGTTTTTGTGTTGTTTAGTATTTTTTTTTACGTTTTTTTTTTTTTTTTATTTCGCGTTACCCCCGCGTATCCGGGTATTTCGCGTGCGCGTATAACAGATGTTTTATTAAATCAGAAATCTGTGTTTTGTGTGTGCAACAGCGAGAGCGGCGCGGAATAAAGCAAAGATATGAAAAACGAAACTACAATGAAATAGCATAAACAAAAAGCGTGCGGATAAAATACAATTTGGTGAAAATATGTATATGCATATATATATATGTATATCGAGAAAAGAAAAACACACACAAAACCGTGTTCGGTTGTGTTTCACAAATCGAACGGTCTATAGTGTTTTTTGAGCAACAGGTTTCGAACATCGTCGCACGTGATGTACTTAATAAAATGTGGTTTTCTGCCAAGTGTAAACGGTTTTAGCGGGAGAAGGAGGAAAGGTAAAGGCTTCAAGATATGATGTTGCCTGCGCGCGAGATCGATACGGTAAAACGTCGTCGTCGTCGTCGTCGTTCCTCCTTGAGATAAAGAGAGAATCGCGATTAACGAAGGCCTCGCGAATAGAAGAACGGCGGCTAATCGAGTTGCATCTTACATAATTGGCGGGTGCTTGAAAAAAAAAAAAAAAAAAAAAAAACGCGTTTCAGACGCGGAAACTTCTTTCTTCTCAATTAAGTAACACGCGCTTGACATACTTCAAGCAGCTTCTTCCGATATTTTTACAGCTCTTCCGCAGCCTATCGCCCGATCCTCTGTCGAAGCTTTAGGACTTCCTCTAACCCGAATGGAATTCTCTAATGAAAGCTTGTATCCGTATTAAGAAGCGAAGTGTTGTGTTGCGACCGAGAAAACGACGAGGATGGAATTTTTTTTGTTTTTTTTTTTTTGCGCGCGCGATACAATAGTTAGCAGAACGAAAATATTTGTTTTCAAGAAATGTAATATTTGAATATTGTATTCAATAAGAGATTCGCGCAAATGTGTGTATTGGAAACAAAAAAAAAAAAAACATTTATATTGGAAAAGTTGCAGAGCCGTGCGCACGTATAAAATTTTGTTTTTTTTAGCATGTGAAATGGGGGAAAAGAAGACAAATACATTTTTAATTAGGTTTGTCGCGCAAATCACAGTGAAATCCATTAAATCGAGTTTAAAGAAGAAACGGTCGCATTTTACTCTGCAGTTTTTTTTTTTTTTACATTACTTAACTCTTCCAATTTCCGTCGCTCGCGTCTCGGCGCCATTGACGTTCCTCTCGTTTCACCATCGGTCCATTATTTCGTTCATTGTCTCAATAAGTCAGAACACTTCTCTCTCTCTCTCTCTCTCTTTCTCTCACTTCCTCCGCCAAATCTTCATAGCGAAACGAAGTTCTGTTCTTTTGATGTTACCACCATTCGCGCGGTTGAATGTTTATCCATGTGTCCACGAACTATCCCCATCACCCTCTCGGGACTTTGTGGCTTTGGCACACTGTGATTTATTTAATCTTGAGAAGTTTATAAAGGATGAAGGGGAATCCTTCACTTACATCGAAGTCCTCTTCTGGCCACAAATTCTCTGGAGGAAGTTTGCACGGTATTAACTTTTGCCAAAAGTGTCAGTTACAAGTTTATTACTCTATGTAATTACCGACACGAGTGTGTGTTGTGTGAATTAATTTCTAAACACACATAAAAACAAATAAACAAACTTTCAATAAAATTTTTTGACAAATTCTCGAATAATTTTATTTTATATGGTGAAAAATACGTGGTTATCGAGATGTGTTTGAACAAATTTTGAGACTCGCAATTGCAGGTTGCGCGAGCAACTTTGGTTTTATACTCGAGATATAAACAAAAAAGTCTTGCCGAAGAGAGAAATTGAGAATTTGAATTTCAGATAGTTCGTGTCTGTTACCTTCGATGGCTTGCGAAACATTATGAATGTGTGCTATGGAAAATCTCACGGCGTTATAAAGATTTTTTGATATCCAAGATGGATCGCGGGCCCCCCGATCGGGTTTATTAAATCTCGAGTGGCTCGCTCGCTATTTGAATAGCAAAGTAGCGCAAATCCATCGACTTTTAATGCGAGAAAGCTCGAGATTACCGCGAATTTCGATGAATCAGCGAAGAGACATTTAAAAACCGGAATGCGTTACAAATCGAGAATTTTCTTGTTTTATTTGCAACATATATAAAGGTGAGAAAAAAATACTAATAATAATTCTACCGCGCGCGAACGTTAATTAATCTATTAGCATCTTAATTGAAGTAATTTGATCGATAATTATACAATGTGAATTAAAAAAAAAAAGCTTTAATAAACTAAACTTTATATAAACCAATAAACTCGGTATATAAAAAACTTGTTAACACTTTTTGATAACAATTTACATAAATTAAATCATCTTCAATTTATTATTGTAATTTATGTATTAAAGTTAACGACAATAATAATTATCTTGCAATGATTTTTAACATAAATTTGCAAGAGCTGGGACAAGGTAATGGAACAAACACACCGCGATATTAAATACAAACATCAAACTGATAAAAAAAAAAAGACACATATGCGGATAATGTCGATAAAAAATTATCATGAAAATTAAAATTAAGTAAATTTCTTAAAAGCCAAATAAAACGATAATGTTATTTGGCGCAATCTTTTTCACCGTTTGAAAATTGCTTTAATTTAATTTGCACAATTTTAATTTAAACGTTACGAGAGCGAAATTTTTCAAACAACATAATTTTTTAAATATAAACAATATAAACATTCGGTAAATTAACAAGATATTATGTATGCGTCAGCCACACAGAAATGATAACGCAAAATTAAATATTCACAAACGATTACTGTACAATAATCGGTTGAGAAAATATTGTATTTTTATGGCAATTTTGTTTAAGTAAATATTTTTTTTTGAAAAGTGTAATTTGGTTCGATTTTTTAATTTCCTCACACGACTCTGTTTTTGCACGAAGTAATGTTGCGATGTAACAACGAGAGACAACCACCTAAAATGCACGATGTTCGCGCTCGGACCGCGCGGATCATACTGAAGAGGAAACACGGAGGCTGCGTGGTGAGATAAAAGGAGATGAGCGGAATGGAAGAGAGACGAGGGAAGAGAGAGAGAGAGAGAGAGAGAGCGGCATGCGCTAAAATTCGCGCGCCTTCCTCTTCCTTCCCCTTCGTTTTTTCCACATTTTTCTCCCGTTTCGTTTCCCCCCCCCCTTTTATTTCAATATCCTTTCCGTTCTCGTAATCGCAAATTTTCTCCCATTTCTTCTTACCGACTGATTTCTTCCACTTTTCCGCGTAATTCTTCCGGGTTTCTTGTACAGCGAATATGTATCTTTTTATGCACGTCTCGTGCTGTTTTTTTTTTCTCTTTTTCTCTCCTTTTCTTTATTTCTCCGCGTCCTACGCGATTTATGATAAGAATTTGCGACGGGAGATGACTAAAGATGACTAAATCTGAATAAAGTTTCTACGTGAACGAAATAGTGAATTTGCCTCCCCTGTTAGTTCAACCCTTTCCCCTTGAAAATTACTTGGAAAACTACCGGGGAAAGATTTGAATATTTCCCTTATTCTCATGTTCCGCGAATGAAGTTCTGAAGTTTAAAATTGAGATAGTTGCAGAAATCGTTTCAAGTAGAATTTATTTGTCGCAATATTATTTGAACCAATATCGATATTTCATGCAGGTTTTATATCTAGTCGTGTGTTATTTAAAAAAAATATACGTTTCACATGATAAGAAATGTTTAACACTTTAAATCTTCTCTCAATACAATTCGCTAAGAAAAAAAAAAAAAACACCCGGGACGAGAGAGAGACGTGAATTTAATATCATCAAGACGGAACTTTTAACGTTTTAGGCCGATCGGCTTCGTTAATTACACTTCTTTAATTAAAGAACTTCTTCAATTTCAAAAAGCTTCGACTGTAATTTGCTAAATACATCGCATGTGTAATTTATGTCGAAATCGTTTGGGAAAGTTGTCTAAAAGTTCAAGATGATTATTAATTTAATAATGCTGTTTTCTGTTTTTTTTTTTTTTTTTTTTTAATCTCTCCTCTCTCTTGATAGTTAAATACTAATGACAAAACTTTTGTATATTTGAGAAACTCATGCGAATAAGAAAAAAAATTTAGAAACGTAGAAAGAGATGTGTGGTTTTCGATATATATGTAGATATAATAAATATATATATATATATATATGTGTGTGTATATATACAGCATTTTATTAAATTATTATAGCTAGAGTTACAATACGAGAATACACGATTTTTACATATACAATATATTATGCATCATTTTTTTTTGTTTGTTTGTATCGTGCCATTTACTTTACACACATGCACTCTCGCATTCTCTCTCGCTTGTTTCTCTTTCTCTCTCTCTCTCTTTCTCTCTTTGTTCTCCGTTTCGTGTAATATCATATCGTATAATATAATATCAATTTTTACATACAAAACAAATTGTTCGAATCGACCAACGAACGTTTATAGACGACACTCAATTCTCGACTGCTATAACAATGCACAATTGTTTGTTTTTTTTTTTAATAAATAAATCATCCCTAATACGTGTTTAATGTACAAGTTAGTTAATTAACCGGTCTCTTCTGTGTCTCTTCTTGTGTTTTTTTTTTTTTTTACGATTTACGAATCTAACAGTAATTATCCACAACACTTGTACATCAAGTACTTGAATACGTTAATCACTCACTTTCAAAAACGGAACGCATAAATGTTTTTTTTTTTTTTTTTTTTTTTTNTNTTTNTTTNTCTCGCATTCTTCCCTACTTTTTTTTTGTCTTCTTTCTCCCGGATTTTTCAGCTTTATGCCAGTTCGCTGAAATTATGCGCAAAACGATTAACGACCTATTTTTTTCGACTAATACAGCCATTCTTCTCGTCACAAATAACATCCGACTTACACGTACTTGCAGAACAAATGCGATTTTCAATTGAACAAAATCTAAATAAGAGAAACACGATCTTTTTTTTTTTTTTTTCCCAAGTGCAAAATATAATACTCCGTATATCAAAAGCAGCGTAATGCAATCGTTTTCTTCTTATCGCAGTGATAATATATATTATGATTCGTTAAATATAAAGCGTATCTGAAAAATTTTATTCTTACAAAAACAACAGCTTTGAAATCTTTGGATATGTGCGAAATAAAATATCAAGCGGAGGTTTTTATTAAACACAATAGAGGGAGGGGGAATGCGTTGGTGAATTTTTTATATGTCGTATGACTAAAAAATCGATTAAAAAAATTTGTGGCATTTTTGATTGAAAACTTCGCGCGCGTGTGCATTATACATATCACGTGTGAAAACAATCTCTATATCGTAAAGTTACAGAGACGGCACCTTTTATTGACTTTAATTATCTCTCTCGGGTTGTTTTTGTGCAATCTTCGTCTGGCGATTCTGGTTGGTTTTTAGCGGATAATATTATATAAACGATAAACGTTTTTAATGATTTACTCGTTCGCGATCATATAAAAAAATATCCGCGCCTCCGCAGGTGAAAATATAAAATATATGTATGTATATATATATATATATTCTCCTGTGATTATACACATAAGCGCGCATATACGCTCGCACATACACGTCGTTTAAAACAGTAATCGAAGAATCGACAATTCAACAGTCGCCGCAAATGTTTTTCCCTTAATTAAAAACAGCTACATTCGTTGAACACTCACGTTTTTTTTTTATTTTAATTATTATTCACGAGAGTGAATTAAAAAAGTAAAGTGACTCTTTTTTGTTTGTTTTTTTTTTTTTTTTCAAGCAAACCGCCCGTTGAATATTTAATTCAACATTTAATAAGTGAACGAGTATATAAATGTAGGATATAAAAATAAATTCAATGAACTAATAATGATTAATTAACATAATATTGATTAAAATATATATATATGAGATTATTGTATTATTATTGCAGAATTAAACATAGTACACAAGAGTTTCACACAAAATAGCTCGAGTCCGATCTTATTGTATTGAACAACACATAACAGACAGATATGAGTCGATTGAAATTAAAATTGGGTTTTGGGTCCTCGCGCGATTTGCTTGCTTTCAATGCCTTTTTCTTTCGACGAGTATTGTTTTGTCAAAAAAAAAATAATAATAATAATAAAAAATGATTAAAAAAAAAAAAACGGGAAATGTCAGCTTTGGTATCAGAAAGTATAATACGGTCCTGTTTTGTGGTCGTTCGTTTAAAACGATAAACGCACGACGAAAAGACGGCGGACCAACACACACGCTTTGTTGCCTCGTCTAAATACAGTTTGTAAACGCTAAAAGTGTGATAAAAAATACTATTTTTCCCTTGCCTCCCCTGTGTATGCATGTATAATGCTGTTTACAGATTTTTTTTTTTCTTCTTCTTCGTGCAACTCGCGCCATTCTAACGCACGTCGACGGGTTTAATTAATCTTCGTTTCTACCCCCACAACGCGAACCTTACTTGTTCGCACACATCGTTAACAGGTTTAGAATACAAAATTTATTTGTTGCAAAAACCGAATATATATCCCGTCGTCTTCGGAATGAAAAGTGGTCATTAATATTCTAAAGGAATTAATAGTATACGAAGATTTAAACATTATTTTATCGAATGTGTTATTTACTTTCTTATTTGTAATTTACATTTGGTAAAGTAGACGAAAGATATATAAGCTATGATAGAAAAACAAAAAAAAAAAAAAGTTATGGTAGAATTGCAGCAAGTCAAAAATTTGCCAAATAAAAAATTGGACAAAGTTTTCAAAAATGTTGCGGTGAAAAATGAGAGCGAGATAAGTGTAATCGGTTTGTGTAAACGTTTCCGAAACTTGGTAGCAAAAATGGTTCTCGCGCGTTCAGTTAGGCAATCAATATCAAAAATGCTAAAATGATTTATTATCGTTTAAACACGGACGAGCTGAGAGATTATAACACGCGGTATACTTTAATATATTGTAAAAAATCGAATTATCGAACAGTCTTAGAAACGCGTAAATCGAAGTCGATACTTACGATTGTACTAGTAATTCGCCGTTCTTAATTAACCGTGTGTGTGTGTGTGTGTGTATGTATGTGTGTGTTTCTGTAAGAAGTGGGAGGAGGGAGAGAAATGTGTGCGCAACGAATTAAATGTTATACAAATCTTATATAGTGTGTTTTATCGACAAATCCTACAAATTATGCATAAATACACCTACGAATTGACCATCCGCATCTCGAAATGCCATCTCTCTTTTCTATTTTTTCCGTCGCGCGCATTTCTTCGCATTTCTTGTCTTTGAATGATTAAAATTATTGCGTTGACGACGTTGTTTCTAAATAGCCGTTTCTATATAGTCTCGATCGCGATTTTTTAAAGATTTGTTGGAATAATAAATTTTCTATTCTCGTTGTTACGATCTAAGTTCACGCGGAACTTTACTACACCGAAAAATATGATACAACCGTTTCTTTTTTTTCTTTTTTTTTTTTTTTTCTTTATTTTCATCGTCCTTCACAAGCTATTGTTTGTCCCATATAATGATGACGTGAATGAAGATATCACCCAAATGAAAGGGAAAGTATATAATAAAAAAGTGAAAGAAGCGTTAACGCGACTGACTCGTTTCCTGTCCTGCGCAGGACAATATATGGTATTTCTTTGCAACGCGCACATTCGCGCGCACGTACTCTCAATTGTTCGTATCGATAAACGTAAAAATGTAAAAACTAACAAGAGTTTTTATCTCTCGCGGTGCGAACTTAAAAAGACAAGTGTACTGGCCGTGTTCGAAAATGCTTTATACGATCATCATGCGAAGTAAATCTAAAGACTCTGTGCGTGACTCCGATCCGATTTGGAGGAGTGAAAATATAAATCTCATCCGCGTGATTTTCAGAATCACGTGCAATATTAAAACTCAGGTTGAGAGAAATTTATGCGATGTGCAATCAGAATCATGGATCATTGGACTCGGTTTCAAAATCCGCATCACCCACTTCGATTATTCATTTAACTGGAAATTTGCCGGTAATTAAACTGAACAAAGTGATAACTTCGTATTTACTGACTCGTAATCTATATATACGTAACTAATTAACCAAACGAATCGTCGGATTACTCGCACGTTTGATTTGCGATTTTTTTTTCGGAGAAAGAAATATTAAAAAGATAGATGAGATACTGAACAAGTTGTTGTTTGTTCGCGACGCTACTGTTTTTCGCGTGAAAAGTTTTCGCAATAAAACACGTGATCGAGTTAAAAAACGTTTTCTTTGGAAGTGCTTCCCAAAATCAGTCTTCAGAGCCAAGGCGTAGTGTAGCGACGGCGTTAATCAAAATATCTCGTCAATTGTCACAATTTGCCGTGTTTTTTTTTTTCTCCCACGAATCGAGATCACCACGTTGAAATGATGAGCAGAGAGGCCGCAAAACAACGATTTAATCAATTGTTCATTAATTACGTTAGAAGACCTGTTCGACAAATTATGTGTTACGGCGCCGTAATGAATAATTTTGAACAAACGAGTGTTTTCTAGAAAAATCTCAATCTTCTGCGCATCTCCTCGTCATCTTCACGCTTCCCGTGAATAATGACGATTGTTGAAAAAGCTTCAACCTATACAAAAGATAAAAAAAGAAAAAAAAAAAAGAAAAAGAATCTCAAATCACTCACAAAAATGTGAGCAAAATTCTTCTTCTTTCGTGTAATATATATATATTTTTTTCGGTTCCTTTTAAAAGGTTCCTTTAAAAGGTTTTCTTGTTGTTTTTTTTTCTTTTTTTTTTCTTTTTTTTTTTACACAATCTTTTCTTCACGGTAAATCTTAAAATTTCTCAAAACGGTAAAATATCGTGTGCTTTGTTAATGGCAATGATGCTGCTACAACAAACTCGAACAATAATCCCTGTTTAAGCTCATTGTCGCGGCAGCGTTGCGTTATATATTTATTGGCATCATTGGCGATGATGTTCATTTAGCGCTAAAAATGCTTTAAAGCACTTTAAAGTGCGGCAGAAATTGCGCTTTCATTTGGCGCCTTTATTCTACGTTTCTTTATAAATGAAATTGTACGGAAGGCTATTGAAGCATTCTTGGGAACACCAAATGGACCGCATTCTCCGTTCTACGGACATGGTGGCGTTAACCATTCAGATGGTCAAGCTTCCGTCTCGCCTTTAAGCCTGAGACGAGCAAAGTCCTCGAATATTATATCGTCGTCCCCGTCCGCATCTCTGCAAACAGAAATTAAACCTCGGATCGAGCTCGAATCTTTTTTTGAAAAAAGAATTGTTGGTGTATGGATTTCCAAATTTTTGTCTGAGCACACTCACGTATCCAATTGAATGAGATTTGTGTCGAGCGTATCGGCTCCGCTGTCGGTGTTTCTGTGCGTAGGGCTTGGTCGAGCTGTGGACGGCGCCGGTTCCTCTTCCTCCGGTTTCGGATGCATCAGGATAAAAGGCAGTTCCGCGACTAACTCACTGTCGATCAACAAGAGCGAGAAACACAAAAATTATTAATGACAAATTATTTCGAAGTGTATTTCGAAAAAAATTATTTTTTTTGTACACGCGGAGTTTGTTCACAAGAGAGGATATCTCTTCGGGTTCTTCTTAAAATTACAAAAAAAGAGAATCTTATTAAATTTCTGAACGGTGTTGAGAAGAACTCGAATATCTCGAAAACACCCGAAGGGAGAACGTTCTTACGATTTGAAAGTTTCTCTCTCTAATCTAAACATATCCAGTTATCAAAGTTTAAATGAATATTGAAACTTACCCTCCAAGTGCACCGAGGCAGAGTTTGACTTTGACTTTGTACTGAACTATTATGCCGAGGTTCTCACGCTGCGACGGATCGACCACACTGCAAACCGTATTCATTCTGGTTATCGGTGCATTCTCATCATCAAATTAACACGCTTGTGCAAGCTCACGTGTGATTAGTTGTGTGTCGTGCAACAATGAAAAGCAACGTAACGATTTAGCATTTTTTTTTTTTACGTTATTCGCTGGAAGGAACGGAAAAGAGAGCGAGCGTGCAAGGTTAAAAATCACACACATTCGCGAATATATATATTCGTTCGAGAATATATTCACGAAAATAAAGCGATAATAATTCACACATGCACACATTTCTAAGAGACTACAACAATGAAAATGAATAAGCTCGATAAACAAATTCATGCAATGCGGTGGCGATGCCATNTTTTTTTTTTTTTTTTTTTTTTTTTTTTTTTTACGAATACAAGCAGAAGGAAGGTAAATCGGGAAAGTATATGTTCCGGTTGATATATTTTTGCTTCGAGAAAAAGGTACTTTTTGCGTCCCAAATTCTTTTTAAATTCCGAATCTTCAATTCTCTCGATATCGTAAAAAAAAAAAACAGTTTATTTTTTAAATGAATTACCGGATCATGCTTTTTTTATTCCATTTTCAAAAATCCACTATGTGAAAAAATAAAACACACCGTGCTATAAATTCGCTACGTACAGAATTAATTATACACGGTGTGAAATTGCGAGAAAACGATATCAAAAGAATCGATGCGTTGTACTTCGGAATTTGTACCGAGAAAAAAATTTAGAGCGTCTCGAATTGCATCCAAGTTGCAGATCTAACGGGATGTGCGCAAAAACAACATTTCCCAGTGAAAATCTCGGTGAACTTGGCTAAAACAAAATTTATGTGTGTGTCGTTCAAAAAATGATTGAGTCAAATCGCTCGCCATCTCGATCGATCGATCGTTTGAGAAAAGCTTCGCCGCTGCAGGCAACGTGTATGTATAATTTTCTTTTTTTTTTTTTTTTTTTTTTTTTTTTTGTCCCCGATCATATCGTATAGAAAGCGTTGCGGACGAAAATGAAATTCCCAGAGGCGTGTGTGTTGCGCGTTGCGTGCGTGAAACGACACGTGTGTCACTACACACCGCTAATAAACACCGCTCTCGCATTCTTCGCCTAGCATTTAGCGCTGAATATATATATATATGCTCGTTCGAATTTCCCGCTCCACGCGGAAAAACCAAAATAGAAGAGATCCCGCGAGATTTCAACTCGGTCTAATTAGATAAGCGGGTAATTAAACTCGAAAAATTTCGATTTGGATTAACGCAAAATGTCACAATGTCAATATTTACGAAACAATTTGTACAACACAAGAGAGAGAGAGAGTAATATGAAATTGTTAAGCATTTGTGTTGAAAATTCGGCGACTATTCAATCGCAAGACGTTCTCGAGAAGACATTCTTAAAACTATAAATTTTAAGAAAAACCGTAAAATTCTCCGATTATTAAATCTCTCGTAACTTTCGCGCGATCGAGAGCGAAAAATGTTAACAACGTATCTTTTTTTTTTTGTTTCGCGGCGCTAAATACGAGGCTAAACAACGCGACGCAGCGACGTATCAAGTTCTAGGCGTGTGTCGCAGGCTCAGTTTTCAAGCATCGCGGTCCTTACAGGGTGCTGGACGCCAAATTGGTGTCCTCGTGTTTGAGTTGGCCGTCGAGGGCGAGCCCCCATTTATCTTTGTTGTTGGCCAGAAGGGGTGTCAACATGAACACCTTGCTCAGCGTGAAACCCGGGCCCACGGGGCATCCCTCCCTGACATTTGAACACACAACCAGCATAAGTGCCAATGCTAACAGCGTTACCACGTGTAAACCGCGCGATCCGCGAGTTTTTTAAAATTATAATATCACTATGTAAACGCGCTTTCCAATTTACAATACATTCTCTATTTCTCTTTGTAATATTACGTTATTATACTATATATAATATATTACTATATATATGATATTCAAGAGATATTTTAACATCGTTAATTTGCAAAACTATAATTAAATATTTATACGTATATTTTTTAATTGCACAAACACATAATCATATTTAGTGATAAATTACAAACAATTCGATAATATTATTGATTTGCGCTGAAATTGTCGAACGATAAAAAAAATAATGCGGAAAAAAAGAGAGAACTTAAAAGAAGAACATTAATTATAAATTTTTTTACTATAACATGTGTGATCATATAATATATACGACATGTATCAGCTTGTGCGTCACATTGCGATACAAATCTACAATTACGAAAGACGAGAATAGGGCGAGGGGCTCGACAATCCTTGTACTTCAGTGCCTGAGGGAAATATATAAGGTGTGAAACACTTACACGCGTTCATATATTTAACGAGAGAACAAAAAACAGATATTTTCTCTTAAATATCTTAAAGGTACACATTTTTTTTTTTTTTTTTTTTAAATAGAAGAAATATAAGGAAAAAAAGGTGTATATGAAAAGGGGGGAAATTTGCAAAGGAAATGAGAGAGAGGCCACCACCGATTCAGATTCTATACATGGTTACAGGCCACCGCGTTAATAAAAAAATCCCCAGCACAAAAAATACTGCCATTCCATTTTCCATTTTCAATAAAAGAAAGAAAAAAACAACAAAACCGGAAGGCTGGAAAACGGAAATAAATTTTGATCCCATTACACTTTGTGCGTCTCAAGCTATGTATTTTTTTACGTTGACATTTATCAAACTACTGAAGACAGTATTAAAAGTAAATTTCATCTCTCCAAGTTCTCTATTTTTTCGATTTCATCTTCAACTCAATTTAATTTCTCTCGAGAGCGTGTTCGAACGTTGGAAAAAAAGATCAGTCTTGGCAATTTTCAAGCGTTTTTCTTTTTTTCTCAAACACTTTGTAAAATTGCTTCGAAAAAAGTGTACTATCATATCCGCTCCGTTATGCCTCATTTTTATGACACTCGGGACACGACAAATTCCCATAAAGTCGGGATGTTCGCTATGAGATATCGCCGTGATTACAGCCGGCGAAGAACGACCGACGCGAGTCATTTGGCCGATTTCCAGCCTCCGTTATCTCGATTCTTTTTTCTTCTTTAGTACCCAGATAAAAAGAAAAGGTGAGAAAGAGAGAGAGAGAAAGAGAGAGAGAGAGAGAGAGAGAAAGAGAGAGAGAGAGAGAGAGTAATGAGGGAAATAGCGAGCATTTAATCACTCGCACTCACATTGTACTAGACGCGAGATTGGTGTCCTCGTGTTTAAGCTGACCGTCTAGAGCAAGGCCCCGCTTGTCTTTGTTCTCGGCAAGCGTCGGCCTTAGAGAGAACACCTTGCTCAGGGTGAATCCTGGCGATACCCCTATACTGCCAGTGCAATCATCTTATTCTCCTGCTCGTCATAGTTCTCTGCTTATCGCGCGCGAGAATTTTAATCACCCCAGAACTTTGTGTCGCGACTTGAATCTCAAGTCGCTCACGATCTGGATCCTGATTCGAGATTCTCAGAAATTTCTCAATTTTTTTTTTTTTTTTTTTCTAAATGCCGCGACCGCACATAATCAAGCCGCGCTAATTTAAATTCGACTAAATCGCTATATATATATATGATTTGAAATCAATCGCTTAGTAAATTAAAAATTTTCACCTCTAACACGTCCTAGAATTAAATTTAATCGTAATTGAAAAGCGATGTTTGGATAATAAAACAATCACGAGTTGTAGTTTTAAAAAAAAATATTTTGAAGAATTAAATTTATAAAAATTTAAAACATTTGCGCGAAGAGTTTTCGAGGATTCAATTCGAAAGATCGAAGTGCAATTATTACTCTCGTAATAGAAAAAAATGTTTATTTTCACCATCATTTCTCCACGGATTCACAACCAAAATCGCTTTCCAAGTGAAACTACTGCGTACTACTATCATTGTGTTCGCGCATCTCACCGGGGTGCAATATCGTTCGTTCTTCGATAAGGAACGCTGAAACAATCAGCTGGGGAATACTCACTCGCTTTCGGCCTCGGCGACTGTGCATTTGTACTGCGCCATCGAGAACAAACAGATGTCTGCGAACTGCCTAACTGACACTTTTATCTTTTTCACAGTCCGGTTGCTATTGTTTGCTATATGCACGTTCACAGCTATACTCTCGCCGTGATGATAAAGCTCCTTATCGAGGGAGGCCTCCAGATGCAGCTTATTCGGAGACATCATAAACTCTTTGCTAACTTCAACCGACGGTTGTTCTCCCTGCTTCGACGGCGCGTACATGACTTTTCTGATCGCCAGTCTCACACAGCTCCTACCGAGTAAAAAAAATTGAGTTTTTTCACAACCAATTGTTTTGTTTTGTTTTTGTTTTTCCAAAATCGGAAGTCCGTGTACCGTTTGTGAGGTTTATCGTCCTGCGTCTCGCCCACGAACGCCTTCAACTCGTATTCGACGCCGCAGGGTTTGCCGGTGTCACCCGGCGCCGGTTGCAGAGTAACCGAAGCGGGGCAGTGAGGTGGCAACTCGAAGTAAAACGGGTACGCGTTGCTTCCCAATTTCTTCATGAGTCTTTCCTGCAACCGCGTCAGTTCTCTGGGCGGCTGAGATCCCTGCACAGCTGGATAAATTTGCTCCGCGGCCAGATAAAGATCCTTGCGAAATGTCAGTCCGAGCACGTCCAAGTCCTCCCTGCCGTACTTGAACGCGGCCAGAACATGACCGAATACTTTTCGATCCTTTATGTACTCGGGATCGATCAGAACGACACCGTCTGAAATTTTGCAAAGAAATTTTTTTCAACACACAAACGTTACGTGTGTACGTTTTTTTTTAATAATAAATTAAAATACACTTGCCGATTGGATCTACGTGCGTGATGTGATCGACGAAGTCTCGTTTGCCGAGATAAACTGTGATCTTGCCGTTGAGACTGGATTTCTTGAACACACGGGTAGCCTGCCGCTTGTTGACACTATCTACAGTGTCCATTGCGCAGATCTCGGGGTCCGCACCGGCCCCTAAATCATTTGAGTCCTCGGTGTCCGAAAAGTCTGATTCCGAGCTTTCCCACTGTCGAAATAGAAATCATTCGACATTGATTCGTTAACAAGCGACAGAATCACACATTTGTAATCGCAGAACTATATATATATATATATACATATACACACACATACACACGCTAACGCAAACAACAAGATTCATATCTTTCTTCTCGCGATTTTTTTCCGGTTTTTCTCAAATATTTACCTCTATCATATTTTCTTCCAATTTTTTTATATCGCAGATATTTTCATTTAATCGTCGTTAATTAAATACTATTATCAATTAAACACTCGTTTCCCGATCGATTAAACTCTAATAATCAATTTATTCCATTGATATTGTTATTATTTTCAACAACACTTTTTATGGTTTTTTTTTCCCCTTTATATTCGGATTTCAATCAATCTGTTTGCGCGTTATTTCACTGTGACAAAATAAAGAAAAATGTGTGCTACGAAACGCGATCTCGTTTGAAGGATAGCGAGAAAGAGAGAGAGAGAGAGAGCTCTTCGGGGCAACAACGCCGAGCTTGTACTGAACTGCTCTCGCAAATGGATGTCAATTTCAATCGGCGCTCGTATAATTCTTAATATGATAATGCCCGTGCAATAATTTGTACTCGCACACGGTTTTCACACATCGCGTACCCGCTATCAGTTACAGATACAGGGAACGTAACGCGAGATGTATCTCTCTATCACACACACACACACACACACACACACAAATCCCAAATAAATCGGGTTTTGCACTTCTCTATAAAAGCTTAATTAATTCCAAATTAATGAAGAGAGATAGTCCTGCGCGATTAAAGCGCCGATTGAATTACACCTCGATGGGAAATCGATGCGGAGTTCGGGGTTTAAGAAGAAGAAAACGCGATCAATTTCGCGAGAATAACACTTATATATATGCCGTCTCGCTATATAACGTATAAATTTTGACAAATATTTCTCTCCGCTAAATACTGTGATTTTCTTTGGGACACCAAGTATAATACGAAGCATGCGAGAGAACATACACACGGATTGTCGGTCGACGTTTACTGTTGATATAACGGGTTAACAGAAGAAAGGACAGGGAGCTTGCGTACGCGCGTTTGACGTCATTATGCCAAATGTTATCGCAGAGCACCGAAATGTACGTTTCCATTATCAATCTGCGTCAGTAATCAGCAGGGACTCTCAATTGCGTATCGTCTGAAGATACAAAGCGACTATTAAATCACCGAGCGCTCTCATCGGCGCACATACACACAGACAATGCCTCGCTTTCATTTTAATAAAAAAACAAAATCTATTTTTTTTTGTATATACATATATATATATATATATACGCGCGCGATACGCAAATATGTAACAAATCCGTATTCTCTCTTGTCAGATAAAAGTTTTATTCGATAGTTTTTTTTTTTTATTTTTTCTCTCTCTCTCTTTCTCTCTCTCTCTCTGTATACATTTACATATAAAACTGAAACGCAATATTGATTGGTACACACTTACGCATATATTTTTAAAGGAAAATAGCACACTGAGTACGAAGAGTGCAAAGAGAAAAAAGAAATATTTAAAAAAACTAAATGTAAAAAAAAAGGTGCAATATCGATCCGTCGTCTTGTTGGAAAAATTCTCGTCGATCGTTTGTATGGCTCGTCTGTTGCTCTTTCGACGGTTTAATAATTCTTCTCTATGATCCAGGTCAAATTTTGTTGGGTCAACGGACGGAAGCGCTAGCGTTACGATTCATTTGACGTCACTCTCAACGGACGGGAGATATCTGCATGGGACTGGAATTGAACGTTCGGCATATAACGCTTGCGCGACTACTAGTTTATCGCGCGATACGCCGTAAATCAAAACGCGAAGTCCTCGAAAGAGGAAGAGCTAATTAATAATTAACGCCCAGAAACATAAATTAATTATCCGCGATATATTATTTGTTTCGAAGGAAAACGTCATTTAATCGGGCTGCCGCGATACGCCTGTGTAATAAAATTGGATTTATTACTTAAACAACAACGTAGCGTAGCAATATAGCAGGTTACACACACACGCACGCAATCGGGTAGTTGCGTTAAATATGTTTTTTATATATAAATATTTGCGCGTATATATTGGAAACGAATTTTCAATTATTGTGCTTCGACAATTTCAATTTATTTTCTCTCCATTGTGTTAATTATACAGGAACGCGTCTTGATTGAACGAGGAAAAAACAAAAAAAAAAAAAAAAAAAAAAAAAAAACCGAATCATTTAAATCCGTTTGTTTTACAATTACATTTTTGTTAATTTACGCGTTCAATTTGTTCGGAGAGAGAATTAAAGAACAAAATAGAACGTAATAAAAAAAAGAGCATATATAGATTATTAATTCATCCAGCCGCGTGTATTGTGGTGCCGCACGCACTGCACTTCGTCAAGAGCAATCCGTTCGCCCTCTCTCACATTTTCTCCCGCGTCGCGCAGTTTCCGCGCGCATCGAGTACCACCGTCAGTCATTTTCAGGATAATAATGCGCGGGGGGATGTGAATTGTTCTTTCTCTGTTCTGTCTGGCGGATATATAATCCCGCCGTTTATTTCATCTCCGCGGTTGTCTTCATTCGCGGAGATTTGAAAACTCCCGACGATTGCGCGCTTTTTTGACGTTTGCGCGAATAAACGGGTAGAAATGCGGCGAACGATTATTGCCACAAGGGGAACGTTTGCCGTTCCAAGTCGGTTCTGGTTTAGCGCTCTCATAACTATTGCAATGATTCTATAACCGGCACTAAAACTGCCGGGAATCACACTGCTCAATCGCCGTTGACGTCATTATTCTATATACAGGGTGCCCCTGACTCACATTCTAGTTTCTCGAAATACGATTCGAGAGAGTTGCTGCGCAACGCGACAGGACGCGCCGCGTTCTGCATTCGCGTCACGAAATTCTACACAACCGATACACAAGGATCGACACTCCTTCCTCTTCGATAAATTGCATTTGTTCGAAATAATTTAATTCTGTTCGAAAGAGAGAGAGAGAGTGCCCCCCCGTAAACACGTCCGGCCGCGAAGTATGATTCGATATTTCGTACATCTCGAAACTTTCGGCCGGGGCTGACATTTCCGGAAATAACTTTATTTATCGCGTAACACGAATTGCTCAATAAAAGAGAATTTATTGCGTTTCGCGAGATCTCGTTTCTCGGTATTGTGTTTTTTTTTTTTTTTTTTACGCGCGCGCGCGCGATGTCGTCTCTGTTTTAATCAGAACATAAATTGCGAGAAATAATTTATTATATCACACGTTTCTTCTAATTTATAAAATTATCAAAAATTGCGCTTGTACATTTCTCCGGAAACTAGCGCTACAGTTGTAATTTTTTTTTTTTTTTTAAATAAACAATGTAACGCGCGCGAGAGAAATTTTCTGTTCTCCGTAACAAGTGGATAAAATCAGATTCAGCAAGTTTTGATTGACGTATCAAAAGTTGGTAAACAAGTTTTAAACGATGTATCTACATTTTTACGATTTTGATAATATCTCGAAGAGAGATTAAGATCGCGAGAGAGAATCGAGAAATCTCGACGATCGAGAGATCGAGTGTTTCTTTCCGTTCTATTTTTGTTTTACAACGACGTTGTTTTTTTTTTGGGGGGCGAGTTTTCCACGAATATGATGTAACTCTGCGGTTGAGCGAGGAAATTCTACAGGAAATTTTGCGTACAAGAGCAAACGCACACTAACCCAGACCAGAGGACATTATATTGCACAATTTATTGGCCATTATCGGAAGCACGTATATATATTGCAGACGAGCCATATTGCCGGAGCTCTCCTCCTATCGCACGGAGCTTTCGGAGTGATAAGTTTCAGTTGAAATAGAATATCGCGTATCGTATTATCTTTTTTTTTTTCCCCCCCCCCAATAAAACATCACTTCTAAATTCCACTTCTCTTTCAGTGGATGTTTTTTTTCCACGTGTGTAATAATTCGCGAATTATCGCACTCGAGTTGTATTTTTTCTCGTTATTTCGCGCGCCCCACGTGGAGTTCGCGTTAAGATATTTTTTTTTTTTTTTCTACACAATACATACCGTAAAAATAAACACAAATACGTTGTATACAAAGTAATGATAATTGAAAACATGTTGGGAACTTGCAACGCGTAAAATGGCCATTAACCGATGGGTTAACGGTTAATTTTCTTACGTCAGTATACGTGGATGTATCTTAGCGATAATTTTTTTAATTTCGCTCTCTGTCTGTGTTGATTCTCGATAACGATTTTGCTGAAAGTGAATCCGCGCGTCGCGCGTTTGTATGTCCGGATGTACACACACACACACACAAGCGTACTGATGTGTAACTATCGAATGTCATGCCACCAAGGTTAGCAGGTATAAAGCAACGTCGTTCTTTCCTCCAGCGGTTCCGCAACGAATTTTTAAATACCTTCAGCGGGGCTTCGTCGAGAAAAAATCGTACGCAATCCACGGGATTTGTTAAAATCTTACATAGCTTCTCGTTCTTTTTATTCAACGTACAATTGAACTTTCAATATATATATAATGAGATTTTCAATAATAATTTACCGGATATTGTTATCTATAAAATGTGTCAGATTGTGAGTCTTAAAATTCGTCGATAAAATTCCAGTTTTACACGATTCAATAATCGCACAATTTTATACGTATCTACGACCAAATCGTTAAAGAGAGAGAGAAAGAGAGAAGAAGAAGAAGAAGAAGAAGAAATTCGATTTGCTTTAACGATCTTAATTTTTTCGCGTTTTTTGCTCTCGAAGAGCAATCACATCGTCTGACCAACAAAGTTAACTGTGTGATTCCGCGCGATTAAACTATCCCGAATTAAGTTAAGGGGCTCTCTCTCTCTCTCTCTCTCTCTCTCTCTCTCTCTCTCTCTCTCTCTCTCTCTCTCTTTCGACTTTGCGGAACACGAATATCGATCGCAGAGAGAGTCGCCAAGTCGACTTCGACCATTCTGCAGCGTCCAGTTCTGATTTTTTTTAACGACAGAAAAAGAAATTACACAATAAAAAAAAAATAAATTAGAAGTAAAGTAAAATAAATTGCATTTTAAAATTACCGCGCTAATTATTGTCAATGACAATGGAAAATACGACGAGAGATTATTCACTGAAGAGAATACTGTCGCAACTAACAAACACAAATTGCTCGGTTTTTGACGCGAGTACGCGTTGTAGTTATATTTTATTTAATATAATTTCCCTCACTCCCCTGTTTGGCTGTTAAACAATTAAATAACTTGGTTATTTCGAAAATGTGCGCACACAACTAATTTTCGTATTACGTAATTTATTTATTCTCCCGATAAAATCTACATGTTATCGTTAAAACGCTAAAACGCGTAAAATGTAATTTAGATATTATTGTGCGCGCGCATATAATAATAAATTTAAATTGTAATTACGCAAAATGAGATAAAAAAACGGACATTCTAAAGCTGAAATTAATTCACGACCGCACGGCAACTGTTGCGTTTTCATTCATGACGGACAATATTGTAGAGACGCATTTATTGAATAAAGAAGATAATGGGAAACGAAAATCGATGGTTATACGGGAGCTGATCAAGCGTCATGTTTATGTATTTGCGCGAAACGCAACGCGTCGCCTTTTATTTATTCGCTATGTGTCTTTGGCAATCTGATTATCGATCATCGATAACATCAAGGACGAGTCGGTCTCGACGAGATGCAGCAACGTGATAATGAACAAGACACAAAAAAAAAAGAAAACACAACGCGATTCGATGCGCTTATGTACATAATTGGCGATTGCATCCGGAATGCATTTATCACCGTTGTAAACAGCGGTCGTAACGAAACGTTTCTCTTAATTGGAAAAAAAGTATATAATGACACTCGAGATATATATATGGAAGTATATATATATATATATTCACCAGTATATATATATATATATGGAAAACAAAAATACGAAGATTCCACACAAATGTAAAAATTGCTGCACTGATAATTCTACGAGATATATAAAAAAAAAAAAATGATTAATTGAAAACGCACTTCATGAGTTCATTATTTCGATGACACTGTAGTATCCAGTGTTTTATAATACGTAACGACTTATGTAATAATAATTGCAGTAGTCGGCGATGTGTAATCTTCGACAATAGATACAATTTTTTTCATAGGCGTATTTTTTTTTACACAATTGTTTCAAAGTCTTTTTGACTTTGGTTGTTGTTTTACGATCGAATATTATTGCGCGTTGAATTTCGACGACGCGTATATATAATTTAACGTCACACGTTCTGAGAAATCGTTAAATCGAAATTTAAAACCACATTTATTCTCTCAATATTCTAAGCAATAAGAGAGAACAGAAGAAAAATGTCATCCAGATTTATCTTACGTATATATATATATATATATATGTTAAACGAAAGATTACGTTCTCGAAATTGGCATCCGTCGGATTTTTTGCATTCATCTGTACGTATGAAAAAAAAAAAAAAAAAGAAAAAGCAAGCTGTTATACGATATTATCTATCAACGTCAGCGATTTTTCTGCGCACCATTTGCGCTTGGAAAAATCGCGCGCGCGCGCGCGACGACGTCGTCCGATTTTCGTGAAGAGGGTTGCGAGTCCCCTCCCCCCTCACGTCGCGTCGATGCGCGTTTCCGCGACGACGTGCAATTAACGTCACACGCGGAAAAGCGAAACAATGAAGAAGCGGGAAAATAATATCGATTCACATTCGGGTGCATGACAGATGACGAGAGAGATGTGCGACCCCGTCGCCGTCGGCCAGTTCGATTTTCGATACGCGGGGGTCAGAAAGCACGTGATTGCGGACGCAACATTGACGTCTCGCGTCCCGATAAACGGGATAAAACGATAATACACACATCTATACCGAAGGGGCGTCCCTTCCGTTTCATCATCATCATCACGCCGCGTTTTTCGTCGCTCGGAGAGAGGAAGAGAGAAGAAATTCTTGCATCTCGATAACGATAATCGCGTCGTTCGCGCGCGTTCAGACAGCTTTTAATAAACGATGCGCTTGCGGATGAATGCGCATCGTGAATTTGCTGCTTGCCTTCGTGTTTAAGCAAATACACATCGAACCCCACCGCTATATAGCGAATTATTCCCGCACGTATATACGCGCGTGACGCAATACAAAACGCGTACACGACAAAGTTCGAAATAATTAATTAATCAGATCTCTCGCAATATGAATGTGTGTGTACGTTATATCTATCGCGCGCGGTTTAAACTGGCGATATTACCAGTCGTAATCCGTCAAGTGTGAATTATTGAGAGTTCCGTCGAAAATGGAAGTTTTCACGATATACGAAAACGATTCATTTACGGCGATACGTAATTAAATCGTCGGTTGTGTATTTTTGTTTTATATATATATATCAGTTGATTTACACTTATCGCAAAATACATAAAGAACCTTATTATTGACATTACTTGTACCGTAATCAGTTTGTGTGCGAGGAGAGGGGACGGATAGAAGAGCGATAGAGGGCTTTAATTACTTTAATGGATTGATAAAATAATCCCTGGAATGCGATCGCGCGAGATGCACCCATTGGATTAAAATTATTTCCTGGGTTTTTCATGTATTTCACGTAGCACACACAAATGTCCTAAATAACAACCAGATAAATTAAATGTATATTTCGTAATCTGCAGAATCGCGCGTGTGGTTTTCGCGTACATCCAATTTCTCAGAATATTATACGCATCGCGCGCACACGGAATTCACTCTGTGCAATTTCGAATTTATTGAGTTTCGTAACTTTTATATACACACACACGCACACACACACATATTCAGAAAATTGCGACTGATTCGAACAAGTTTACGAAGTTTCCTTCGCGCGTCGACGAGCTTGATTCGAGACCAATCGAATATGCCAATACACGATCAATGTCTGTAAACAATTAATGCCGATTTATGCTCTATTTTGTCATGCGGCAAAGGTCGCCGACTGATTATTCCCACAGCCGCGTGAGGTATATACGTGCCTTGCATAATTATCGCGTGAGAGTTTCAAGTTCCAATCGCGCGCGCGTGCTGTATTTTTTGTTTTTTTTTTGTTTTTTTTTTTTGTCCACAGATTTTCGAGATTCTCCGAGCGTTTTTTCGCGTGTAACGAGTTATATCTGAATACGTTGATCTTTTTTTTTTTTTTTTTTTTTTTAACGCATGTCGCGTTTTCGTGGATTTATTTTTTTTTTTAATTACAGAGCAACGACGGATCGTAAACAATTGTACGGAAAGAGAGCGGTACGTATTTTTTTTTTGTTTTTTTGTTTTTTTTTAAGTATTGACCGTGTTTACAAATGTGTCTATAATGCATTTCCTCCGTGTGTGCGAGTCACATCGGTGATTTTTCGGAGTCGCCAGAATCCCCGGAATTCCGGCTGGCTGGCTATAGCCCACGTTCCGTTGGAGTGACTCAAAAAGGAGGAGCGGGAACAGTCCACTCCTGAAACTTCCTTTTTCGCGCGTAAAATCGACGAGATGAAAATTCTCTCTTTTTTTTTTTTAAAAAAAAGTTTTTATCCTCGGAGCGAACAGTTGGTTGCTCTCGAGCGTGTACGTACCCCGGTTGAATTTCAGATGAGAGGCTCAGATTTCCGTGTGATCTCCGTCGCGCGAAAAGAAGGACCGCCGTTAACGCGTTCTCTCCTCGCGAGAACGAGCGTGTATGTACGTTGTATTCGTTGATCGCGACGTGATCGGCGGCGTATGAACACGCGCGGTCGGTTCTGTCCGAGACCTGGGGGAAAAAAAATCGCAACGACGACGGGAGAAAAAAAAAGAAACCCGTAGAAAACCGGAAACACCGCGACGGGAATCACCGGGGCGGGGGGGGGGAGGGAGGTGACTCTTCTCCGCGTTTTTTTTTCCGCGATTCTCCGGCGCGTGGAGGAGAGGATCGTGTCTCTCCGCGTCCGCGGGGGCCTACACACACACACCCTCTTCTGCACGGAGCTGTCACACTGTGTGTCGGCGCGGTGCGACGCCGCGTCGCGACGGCGCGACGCTCCCACGCGACCGAACCCACCCCTTTTGCGATTTCTCTCGCACCTCGTCACTCGCGCCGTATCTGACGATCGTCGCGGCCACACCGTGCTCTTAATTGTCACAGACAAGCCGTTCTCGGCGCACAAAGAGGAGAGAGAACACGTCCGCTCCCCGCTGGGCTCCTACCTGTGCTCATCGGCGGCCGCAAATCGCGCAACCACGACCCACCCGTGGTTACTGGAAACGGGGCTGCGAACACGTCGCTCGATCGCAGCGCCTCTTCGCGACCGTTTCCAAAAGAAATTCCCTATATATTTCCGAACAGACGGAGTTCGCTTTTATTTATCCTATTTTTGAAACCGCGAACAAATTGGGTTTTACAAATAAAACACACGACTAAATGAAAATGATGACAGATTGTAAATTATTTATCCTCGAAAACTTGAACAACTTTGAGTTGGGAACAAACAAGTTTGGACAAGTTCTAGTCGGTTTTCGAGGTCTCGACAACTAGATGTCAGTTTCGTAGGCAACACGTGACTCCAATGGTTTCTTATCATTATTCTCTCTTGAAATTAATAATAACGCACGTGCGATGTAACGAGATAAAAAAAAGAGAGAGAAATACTGTAAAAAATTGTTTCTCTCAACATTTTCAAAAGATTGATATGTCAAATTCAAAATTGACACATCACAGCACTTGGTTCCGATTGTTGGTATACATTTGTTACCAGCGCGTGATAATTTTTGAATATGCTTTCCGAATTTTTTGCACAAACTGAAGAAAAAAAAATCATAAACACAGTATAAATTTTGATAAAAAGTTGATGACGCAAAAAAAAAAAAAAGCAAAACGTCAACTTGTTAAAACTCGCAACGAAAATTAATTCAAAAACAAAGTTTACGTTGGCGCTTAACATTATAATGACAACAAGCTCAAATCAGAGAGGCGCGCTTGAAGCGCGCGTAAGCCTAGTTTTCCCTACGACCGCGATCTGGGGGAAAGCGAACAGCTGTCGTGACGGAAATTCGTTGGATGATCTTGAGTGTAAAAACCGTCACATTTCATCCATTTGATATGATACACGTCAGTGATGGGTAGCGAGAGTTAGCGCGTTAAAAACGTAGAGATATATACGTGCAGGAGGGAGTTTGATTGCGAGAAAAAGAAAGGTACGACGCGAGAGAGAGAATTTATTAGACGTTCGGGGCAATCATCATTTTGTTTATATAATACATAAACAATTATTGTATCGGAAGAATAGGTTTGCTTTTTTTTTTTATCTCTCTGTTGCGGCGCACGTCTCGCGCAATCTTTGTCTATTTGTCAGCTAATAATTTTCAGACGTAACCAATTAAAAAAAAACAAAAGAAATTTAATTCGAGTGCTGTAATTGCGATGCTGTTTGTCACGCGTTTCGGTTACTTGTGCCAAGCAACGCGAAGAGAAAAAAAATTTGGAACGAAACACAAGCGACGTCGAATCGAAGTTTCTCAAGCGCTCATTTCCGTTGAGTCGCAAAAAACAGAGAGATCGCAAACTTGGTTTTTTTTTTTTTTTCGCAGACAAACCGAAAATCCAAAATGGCAGACGACATAAACAACGATACGCCGGAAGGAAATTGTAAAGAGAAGATGAAACCGACACCGATGGAAGAGAGATTGATGTATTTTGAAACGTTGCGAGAATGGCTTCAGGATTGGTACTATTGGCAAACCGTCGCGGCGATGATCCCTTATTACGTGATGTCACAACACGTCGCAAACACGACGACCGGTATGAATGAACGTGAGTTTTTCGAAAGATCAATTTCAAGTCGACCAGATATATAGAAAATAATCGATTTCTTGATTTAATATAATACGTAAGAGAAGAGAGAATTAACTGTATATAATATACAAAAAATAATATATATATATATATATATATAATTAAACAAATTTTTTTTTAAATAAGATGTTAAACAAACTACTTGTTTTGGATAGTTTCTTAAATTTACTTAAATATGAGAGATATAGAGAGATCTAGAGTATTACACATAGAGTAATACATAGTGCAAATTGATTATTAGATTTCACCGGTTCAACACCTTTTCAACCAGCTCAAATACCAACAATGCGACCAGATACAACAAGTGGAAACGCGGATCAACAGAATGAAGCAATTAGGCAAAGGTTCCTGAGGAGGCCTCCTCAGGAACAACTTGCGGGACCTTATCAGCCTCCGGGAACAGACGGTGAGAATTGTTCATCGTCGTTCTGCCTATATTTGCTCCGTTCTAAATATCAAAAGCTTTTTTTCAATTTTTGTTCTTAAATTTATCTCTGTGTTTCAGGTTACGAGTATCGTATTCCTCCGCTTTGGAAAAGATTTGCCGCAGAATTTATAGACTCAATAATGTTGTTTCTTCTAAAGCTTTCCATTACCTTTATTGCGATTGATATCTTCGATTTTATGTACGTGTGGTCATTTATGACAATCTAAATGTTGTCACTAAGTTTTTATAATTTATTTTAAATATTTTTTAAAATCATTTTTAATCGTCAAAGTTTTACAACTTCGTTTCCTGTTTTTTTTATAACAGCTTGTGATGCAATCCTTCATGATTGAATTTGTATTGTTTCAGAGATATCGAGGATCTAGATTTGTTACAAACAAATTTGCGCATTGATTACAACATGGCTCTAAACATGACTTATGGGATTTTAATTTTGGAAATGATTCATCGTATGATAGTTTGTATCTTTGAGGTAAGAAAACGTTCGCGTTCGAAAGTAAACATTAGAAATGACGTTTCGTGCGTACACAATCGCACTATTATGAAACAAAATTATTTATCTTTTGTCAATATTTTTTTTTTTTTTTTCAGGCCTTTTGGCTTCACCATGGCGTGTACGGTTTTATCGGAGGCGCCACTCCCGGCAAGTACATGATGGGCTTGCGAGTTGTTCAATGCCGTAGCGTGACTCCTGTGGATCGTCCAAACGAGCCGAACGTCGTTCTGGTGAGCCCGGGAACCGATCTGGGCTTGCCGTTGGCGTTAGGCCGGTCGGTGGTCAAGAACCTGGTACTCGCGTTTCTCTTCCCAATTTGTTTCTCGTTGTTCTTCTTCAAGTTTAACAGAACTGGTTACGACTTGATTTGCAATTCCATTGTTGTCGAAGACGCCTACAGAAATGGAAATAACCGAATACACCAGCAGTAGATCGTTCGAGAGACGACATACTGCACGACATACTGTGATCTGTATATAACAGCTGTCTGTGCTTCTTGTACCTTTGTATGCGTGCGGATTCATGCTGATGTGTATGATGTGTGTGTGAGAAAGTGTGTGTATGTACATAAAAACTATATATATATATATATATATATAAATGTAAAAAATAAACATCACGGCAGAAAGCCGATTATGTATCTTGATTCAGAAGGAATTATATGCATCTATAAATATACATACGTATATCTAAATTAGTGCGATCTTTGCGATTGTCTTTTATTAATTGCGAAACTTTCTATGCCGCGACAAAGTTTCGCGGTACTATAGATACATAAAATTATTTATGATAATAGACGCAATTCCCGATTGATTATTCATTTGTGCGCGTCTACGGAGGTATCGTATAAGCTGCTTCCGTATCAATTTTCACTGACTAATGTAGCATTAGGCCTGGTTTGTGCCGGCAAGTAAGGCCTTGTTTCGGTCTTGTTTATGCGGGTAATAACTGTTTAATTTATGCCGGAATTGGGGTACAGTTCAACTATAGGATCTCAATGCTTCTGTTAATAAACAGAAATATTAAAATCTTAAGCTTCTTGCACAATGGANGGAATAGCGATAGCGATAGAAATAACACAGTTTTTAACACAGAATTCCAACTCGTCGGAAATTTTATCGCTATTGCTTATTCCGATTTTCTGATCTGCATTGCATACATGTGTAGTTTTGTATGTTAGATTCCGCTGTTCCCTACCTTTATTTTTAAATATAAACTCTTTAAAACTTTTGTTATTTCTATTGCTATCGCTATTCCTTTTATTGTGCAAGGGGCTTTAGGCCCGCATGAACCAGGTCTTAGAGAGAAGGCTGAAGGCTCGAATTCCCGTCACTGCCGTCTGGTGTCTCTGTGTCTGTTTCTGTGAAGTCGGTGAACCTGATCGTCACAGATCATCGTCGCCGGGGACGCGGACACCGTAGTTTCTTTGTTGTTCCCACAGGACGAATATCCTTCCTCGTTTGGAGAGAATTTCTTTCTCTTCTTTCGCGCTCTGGAAGAAAGTGCAACGTCTCTCCCATCGCGCGAACGATCGGTGTACAGATTGAATACGATGCTCGCGATTCAGCGTCGCGGATCAGCCGACACGTGGCGGTGCGTCTTCGAGCCTCAAATCGAAGCCAAAAAAATCGACGGATATAAACTTCCACGAATACAAACTTTCGAATATTCGAAACATGTACGATCCGAAGGTAAGATGTTCTTCCCCGTGGCGAGCATTGAAAAAAAAACTCTCGATCACACGTTAACGGAATGTAAACACGTCGTTGGTGACGTGGCGTTGAAAAAATCCGGCGAATGGAGTGGGTACTTCTCACATCCAGCAAAATGCCGTACGCCGTGATCGCGAACGATCGCGTAACCTTCGCCACGACCCTGGACGATAAAAGTGTGAAGAGATACGAGGAGGAATATCGGCAGCGTTTCTCGTGTAGGTAGGTGTGATTTTCCTCCGTAACTCTGATTCCTCAATTGAGTTATTTAACAGACATTTTGCTACATTCTGCCATTTTGTTTTACGTTTAATGCGTTGCGTTTATTCTCTCGTTCCAGTGCAATTAAACGTCGAAGGTATTTGTGACAACAGTCTGTACCTGAGATTCTTGGAGTTTGTTGATTCGAAAACTGCAAACTTGCACTACTCTTTCACTTATGGTTACTCATACCATGTATGTCACAATGTTACAGAGTGACTTTTGCTCTACGAAGATCGGCTACATGACGAAACCAGAATAGTAAGACAAAACTTGTTTTTTTTTCGGTTGTAATACGTTAAATACAATGGACGTACTAACGTTCTTTCTTATTTCAGTGTTTGCAGACTGGCTGCGCAACACGATGTGCAAGTGAATCCTATCGATTCGAATCTGCACTTTGTGGGAAAACTCGTGCCACTTTTTGAACAGAAAAAGATGCTTGCTGTGAAGGAATTGCAGGAGAAAGTCGTGGTGCAAGATCAGCTTGAGGATGTTACGCATCGAGGGGAAGAAAGAACTTCACTATTTGCACAGAAACGTGCCGTGCGAGATTAAAATTGACGCGAAGAAGAGCCAGTATTAAGGCCATTCTACATAAGACGCAGGTCGCAAGTTGCTGATCTCGAGAAATTGACCAAAATAATTTAAAATAAGTATACGATTGTTTAGTTATAACAGACATGTTTGGTATTTTAATTAACACTACAAAATTTAGTTTTGTAGTTTAATCTGCACAGTACACTTGTATTAGGTTGTATTAGGTTGACCAGGTAATTTTCAAAACAAAAGAAAAATCAATTAGGTTGACCAAGTAATTTTCAAAACAAAAATCAATTTTTTCTAAACTAACATTTTTTATAAAAACTAAAATATTTTTTTTTACAAAACCCTATTATTATTCTTCTAACCCTATTGTTATTCTTCTAATGGTGAATATATTCACCATTTTTATCTAAAACTGTTTCCCATCTTTCTGGCAATGCTAGTATGCCGTCTTTCCAAACTTGTCTATTTTTTTCTTCAAAAAATCTAGAGATATACGATTTGCATTCATCTACAGAAGTAAACTTTTTTTCATAGAGCGAATTTTGCAAAGGTCGATAGATGTGAAAATCCGATGGTGCGATATCTGTCGAATTAGGTGGATGACAGAACTTCCCATTCAAATTCTCTTAATTTTTGCCGAGTCTGCACTGATACATGAGGCCTCGTGTTGTCTTGATAAAAAATTACTTTTTTCCTATTAGCAAGTTTTGGTCGTTTTTTTTAAATGTTTTCATATATTTGGTTTAGTTGTGTAAAATATGTTTTCTTGGTTATTTCCACACACGATATGTCGTGCCACAATAGTCCTTTGTGATCCCACACTATTGATAGTTTTAATATTTCAATTGTTACGTCGGCCGATTGTAGTTGGACTACCATCCATCTTTCACCTTCGGTAATAAGTTGTTTTAAGAATGATTCCTTTTCGTATCGTTTTCACGATACGAAAGGAATCACAAAACGACATTCGGTCTATTAACGATTTTTCTGCTAATACTTGTTTCCAAACATCGGCGTCACAACTGAATCCGTGTGTTTTAAAGAATATTTCTACTGCCGATTTCGATAAGTGTAGTATATTGGCTATTTCTCTTATGCTGTAATATGGATTCACTTCTATAATATCTAATATTTTTGTGTCATTTGGTACCTGTTTCGGTACGCGTATCTCGTCGTTCAAACTAAACTCCCCTTGCCGAAATTTTTTGAACCACCATTTTTTGAATATGTCTATCGACATAGAAACATACTTTCGGACACACGGATTCAGATCTCGATTTCGGAAAGTTTAATACTATATATTGGTTATTTCTCCTATACTATACTACGGATTTACTTCTATATCTAATAATAATATTCTTGTTTCATTCGGTATGTGTTTCGGTACGCGTATCTCGTCGTTCAAACTAAACTCCCCTTGCCGAAATTTTTTGAACCACCATTTTTTGGTGGTTCAAAAATGGTTGCACCATTTTTTCACTTATAGTACCCGTACCGTGTATGTTACAGATTGTTTTGGTGGTTTCTGCAGCATTTTTACCTTCGCGATAATGTAACAAAGTGCACATAATTACACGGAAATACATCTTTTTGTTATCTATTTAAATTACAATAACTATTCAAAAAAATTGCTTGGTATATATTGAATTTATTTTTGCTTACCTTTACGAAAATAAAACAGCATGATGGAACGAAACTATAATTTTTCGTGCTCCATTTTTTCTCTTTGCAAGTATAGTACGGTTAACCTACGTATACAGCCTTATTACTTTCAACGTGTAAGCAAATCTAGTATATTTTGATTTTTGTAATACGATTACAATTTGTGATACGATAAATACGATTTTAATCGTATTGATCAAATCAGCCAATTGACCAGCGTGATTGGTCAATTCTACGAAATCTGTTCCTTGCGTTTGCGCTTGCGATCAATGTAGAACAGGCTTAAAAGGTCGTTAACAATATAGATGGTTAATTTTATTCCCACCTACTTACAAGAGATGTTTAATTAACATTAATTGTCGAACACTCCATAGATACGGCGACCATATTTTTTGAAGAAAATAAAGGACAACTTAGAAATTGTTTTATAATAAAAAAGAGCACGTTTATTTGTTAGACTAAAATTAAAAAGCTTTATAATATTTTTTATAAATATAAGTATAAGTATATATGTAATACATAAGTATATGTAATATAAGTATATATTACATATATACTTATATTACATATATACACACTTATATTACATATACTTATATTTATAAGGATTACTTATATTTATAAGGATACTTATATTTATAAGGATACTTATATTTATAGGGGATTTTAAACAATATATTACTGAAACAATATATAATACTTAAATAGTATTGCTTAAAAAAAGTATTATATTATCATAAAAATGTTATTTCTTTAAAAAAATGTTATCTTGATACTTTTCATACAAATTAACTTTTTTTAATAACAATAAGTATGTGTGAAACGGTCAATAAGAGATAAATTTGTGTATATATGTGTACATATATACGTGTTCACGTGTAAATCTTACACGTGAGATTTTTATTGAGAATTTTCAATTCTAAAATTCATATAGGATGCTAATTTTGCATCTCATATATGAGAGACTCCGAATACCTCCTTATTAATTTTAAAATATTGTGAAAAAAACTTCTCCAGCTAGAGTCGAACCTGGAATCTTCAGCTTTCCGGGCCGTTGCCTTTCCTATTCGGTCACCGAGATACTTGCCAAAGTTTATTAATTATTAATTTTAATATTTTAAACTTAATTAGAGGGGTATTCGAGGCCGAAAGTATAATTAATTGCCGCTGTCGGATTAAACGACATTTAGATTTAGATAGACATTTAGATTTGGATAGTATTATATATAGATATAAAATATTACATATATATAATATATATATATAATATTCTCTTTTATATAATATATATAATATTTCTCTTTTTTACCCTTTTCCCTGTCACGTTTTTCCCTGACTTTAGTCACGTGTTGTTTTTCCACTTCTCTCTCACTATTTTTTGAGTTTGATTTTCATGCGTTACTTCTGACATTTCTCATATGTGTATTATATGGTTTATAAGGGTGCGGTCAACGTCTCACTGCAAATGTTTCCAAGTATCATTCTATCTTTATTCTACATTTAACGAGAAATAAAGATAGAACGATGCTTCAAAACATTTGCAGTGAAGCTTTGACCGCACTCTAAGACGTATATACTATCTGTCATCGCGGTGACAAGTTGTGTTCACTGACAACACGTTAAATAAAAATAACAATAGCTTGCGCCTGTGTTGTGCTAGTTTTTTAAATAAAAGAACATATCTCAGAATATTAATTGCTGCTGTTATTAATATCAATTATTAGAAAAAATTTATAAATTCGCGCTTCTTCAGGTGTGTAAGTATTCATTCGCGAGCGATAGATTTGATTTCTTTTGGAATTTAAAATGACCGGTCACGTGATAACAAGATGAGAAAGGAGACCAGAAAAGAATAAGAAAAAAACATTGCAACTTTCCACACATAACATAAATGTGATATACAAGAAAAGATGTGATAGTCAAGAAAAGAATATTATTTTAGCGAGCAGCATCAGAATTCATGGAGTGAACTCCAATGTAGGGTATCATCATTTGCTGCTCTTCGCTTTATACATTTTATTTTTATTTTATTTTTTTTAAAACACTACATATAGATACAAAATACACACAAAACCATGTATATTATACAAAGGTGTTTTAACGGTACACAAATATAATGTCTGAAAAGTTGCAATTCCAAGAAATATAGCTTTTGCTTTTTAATTTACACCTTTTTATCAGTGTGCTTTCTATTTCCAAATTTCATTTTACAATTTTTTTATAAATTACAATAGAATACAATTCTATTACATATTTATTACATATAACATACAATATAATACAATCTTATACAATATAATATAAATATAGTTATATATAATCCTACCTCTATCTACCTACCTATCTTAGACATCTGTCATATCTTAAACGTTACTAATCTTATTAATTAGGATTAAGGCTGCATAGCAGCCTTGATCCTAATTTTACATGATTTTGATTTCTTTCTACTTATTCGGTCTAACATATTTCCTACCTACCCGGCCTAATTTATTTTCTACAAAGCGCTTGTAGATACGCATCCCTACCTATACAGATACCCCTATTTACCTATCACCTTGGGAAAGTTTTAAAATCTATCATCAAATATTTTACGCGAGGGGCAGTTGTTTTAAAATTAGAAAGTATTATTTAAAACATATTTTTAGTTTCACGTCCGAGTTTTGTTTTAGATTTTATGATTGAAAAAAGAATATATCTATCCTTCAAAGCCCATCATGTATACTTAAAAGAGATAGATATATTTCTATTTTATAGTAGATAGAAAAAATATATATTTCAATGTA